GAGAGAGAGAGAGAAAGATAGAGACCGAAGTGTCCCTTCGAACGAAGAAGGATCTCTATGGTGGACTGGTTTCTCAGAGTGGAAACGGAAATCTCGGGTGCATCAGGGTAAAGGCAGACAGAGAGAATTGATTTGATAAATATTCAAGTGTAATTGCAAACGCTAGAATAGTGTGTATATATATATAAAGGAAGTTATATATGTATTCTTGATTAATGGTGTCTTTGTCTTCTTTGGAGAATAAGGGATGTTGGATTTTGTCTTGATTAAATACATATGAATCGTGTAGATTCTTTTGCAACAGTTGTATCTATCCATGCGGTTCAGTTTCGTGAGAAGAGTGGTGGAAAATGGCCAATTTTGAATCTCTCTGCTGACGATATATATATATATATAATTTTTATGAGATACGTAATAAGCAAAGGGAAGATCGTGTCTCGTTTATTTTAAGACGCGATAACAATAACGATTCACGATGTTAGATACCGTATATAAAAGTAGAATATATTCGTTTACACTCGTCGAACAAAATGTGTTATTGACATTACACTTGAATCAAGTTGATTAAGAAAGAAGGTTCAAAATTGACACGTTGTTATATCCTTTGAAATTCTGTCCTCTCAAGGAATAAGAAAAGTTCGCCAAGAAAATACGAAACGCAAACCACATTCGTCGCCTCATCATTTTTCCCCTTTCAATAATTAAATTAGAAAACTGTTCCACGCAAACAGCTTTTGCCGCGCGAAACGACACGAAGCTTTAAATAACAGTCATCTCGCAGTCGTGTATTGTAAATACGCGTTGTGTGTTGACGCGAATGTTTATACGTACAGGATTTATAACGAGCCAACAATGAGATTGAATCGATCCCCCCACCCTTCTTTCGAAACGCGTCGATATATTTCGATTCGATCTCGTCAATCGAAAACATCGTCGTTGTTCATTTACCTCGAAGCATTCTTCTTCTCAGGTAACCTAAATATTTTGATATATTTTGAAACGAGAAATTGTTGTTCCGTTATTACGTGGAAAAGGGTGTGCGTTAAAACAATATTTCCTCGTTCGGTTGCATCGGTTCGCCGCGTTATCAACGATCCCATTATCGAAATGAATCGTTCGATTAAAGCGTATTTGGAAGTGTGATTCTGGAAACGAAGCGAAATTTCTTTTTCTAAAGGATACGTTCCATTAGACGAAACTTTATCTTCTGAACTGTATGGATGCAATTGCAATAATATTTGTGGATCCTATATTTTGATAATATTAATGAAGATTGTTCTTGTATGTTACAAGATGAATTACGTATAATAATTGACATTTTTCTAAATTGGAGTTTAAAAGGTTTATTTCATTTTTTGATTAATATTAATATTCAAATTTATATTAAGTAAGTAATGCAAGTAGTTCAACATACAGTTCAATGATATAATGATAATTTGAAACTCTTTTTCGCGATTGAATGTAACAGGTCTACGCCATTTTAATCGCAAAGTCTTTTGTGAAATAATGAAAGGGAAAAGAAGGCTTGACACGTATCCTCTTTTTATATTTTTCACGTAATTATTTCGAAAATTACTTCTGTCAATGTTAAATTTATAACTTCAGTTTAATCAATTTCGGCTGCATGCTCGAAAATTATTGAGAAGATGCACGCAACAATATATTTCAAGCGGAAGAGAAATATTCCATGGCTCACCTAATGTTCTCCTTTTTAATTATAAAAAGAAACAAAGACGCAACATCTCTTCTTATTTCCGAATCTATTAACTCATTGAAAAATCGATACTTGATAGTAATATTTCACGATAGTGAAATTGGAAATATATTTCCAATTTGTCAAACTTTCAAATAATTTCGTTACGTTTTCCAGAACCAGCCTCGAATACAAGATTTAATTCTCGTTCGATCAATTTACAACACAGAGTGCAATACAAACCTTTCTATGCAGACAAATACGAGGAAAGGAAGAAACTTATTAATAAATCTTTGATATAACAAATAAATAAAAAACAAATTCAACAATATTCTTTTCCACCTGCTTACCACTGCAATGATTGTCCGATAACTTTCCAAATTTCTATTTTTCAACTTGTATCATCTTTCTTTCACGACGCGTGATAACAAAGCATTAATAAACACAGTAATAACTCGTTACACTTATTTATAACAATTTTTTACACAACTTTACTTTTTTAATATTTCCTGTACATACAAACACCCCATGTTAAAGGGAAAAAGTATGCTTTATACGGCAAAGGGATGAAAATCAGTTAGAGATGTTTGTTAGAATCTCGCACGTTCTTCGATTTCTTCGAATATACGTACCTGCGCCTGGTTTCTTTCGCTTACGGGAGACGTTGGCTCGGTTCAATTCGCGGGATGATTCCGCATGCAATATCTTCCGCTGGGGCGCTATTCTTTTGTAAGTCACGGCTAAGGGGACACACAAAACATACACAAGAAAAGAAAAAAACAAGCAACGACAGTGACACTGATGCAACGAAGCAATTTTTATTCCGTGCGACTGGCATGATATTCGTAGAGGAATTGTATTGTATTGCATTGGTCGTGTTATTAAAAAAAAAAAAAAAAAAATCTTTTGTTGGAATTAGCTGTTTCATCATTTGGGCAAATTGCAAATGTTTGATTTTAGAGAGGCTCGATGGAAAAGCGGTAACAAATGATTTTTAGAATTTTGAAAAAATGTGTAATATATTTAATAATATTTGTGTAATCGTTCTTAACTCTGTGTTCTTTGAACAATAACTTTCGATAAAATAAATTCTTGAAAATTTATTAATAATTTGTAAAATTTCTTTCCTAAAATTTTTTTTAATTTTAAAACAATATAATATCCGTTTCTTCTCGATTTTACGAGTATACAATAAAGACGTATTTCAATGTGTTTTTGGTTTAATTTTATTCATAATAAGCACAAATTACTGGCTTCACTGTTTATACCACTTTTCTCTCAAGCCTTTCGCGTATTTTTTCCTCCCGGATATAATTGTACATAAATGGTTCACCATTGGCCGAATGAATTTTGCATTTTATTGTTCGTATTATTCATATTTGAATAATTAACGAGTTAAATGAATATTTAATTAAGCGTGAAGGAAAAACGTACGATAATAATAATAACTTATATATGTGAAACATATATAATCAATGAGAGTAATATAAAAATTAATGAAAAAAAAATTATTATTCGTATCACGGATTAAAAATGAACGAGTTAAAAATGGAACAATATTATTTCAATTACCACATTTAATTTTCCGCATTGATTTAAATATTATGGGAATATTTTTAATTTTTTTATTATGAGAATTATACATTTAATTCTTTAAATGGTACGCGTTCTACTTTAGTGGCGTCTGCATTTGATGTACATGCTGATACAAACAACATTAAATGTTCTAATTACACGTAGGGGACGTTACCTTCTTTTTCTGCGAAGCTTTAATCTAGAATTACGTTTTATGTGCCTTGGTTTTTAATGTCACGCGAGCTCGAATTACAGAAAAATTATACGATTGGTAAGCGTAAAAATGGCTAAAAAATGATGCAATACACCGATAATTAAGTAACTGTATTTGACGATTAAAAAAGCGTTGAAATATCTTTTTCAAAACACATCTGCATTTTTAAATAAAATTTAGAATAGATATTCATTTTTATATTTCAATCTAATAATTTTTTATATTCTTGACAATAATTTAAAATCCACGAAGAATAACAATCGATGAATGGTAATGATCAAAAATACAAAATAAAAATGAAGAAAAATTTTATTAATAAGTGTCTTTGGATAAAATAAAATACATCTATTTCCATCTCAAATGTTTTCGAGTATTTTAGGCTTGCTTTGAAAAATTCTAAAGAAAAATTATTTATATATAATATTGCACTGATGCATCCTTTATTTTATACTACCAATCTACTTTCTTCGATTATAATCGTTTAACATTTAAAAAAAAAAAAACATTGCAAAATCTGCAGACGTGTTTGTAAAAAGATCTTTTACTTTCTATTCTAAATGCAACGCAGAAGAAGAAACAAGGAAGTGCGCTTGGAAATAAAGCTCTCCTCGTGTATTTTCCAACGATGGAAAAATTCGACCAGGTTATTTATCGACGAAATGAAATATTCAGTTGATTCGTTTCGCGCCGAATCGAATTTTTCCATCGTTTAACGTAATTGAAACCGTAACGATCAACAAGAAACATCATGGTCGATTCGATCCACGGCCGGGAAGGGAGATCGACTGAACCGTTTTTAATGTTGGTAAATTGTGCAAACATTATACGACTTTTCGTTCGAACGAGCATCAATCGTGTTTAACATAGCTTATCAAATATTCGATACACTTGGTCGAATACGGCAAAATTGCAAGCAGCCGGTATTTTTAATTAAGAGAGCCCGGATCATTTGGTTGACATAAATCGAGATTTTATACCGAAACGATGAAACTTTTTAAATTCGATTGAAAAATATATATTACTCTGGTAATTTTCTTAAAAATTTCACTTATTTTTTTATCTTCCTGTCCTTTTAATTCAATTCTTCTCTGAACAAGTTTGTCGATATCATTTTCCTCTCTTCTCTTGCATAATAAATGAAAACGAAATTTCGACGATTTCGAATTATCAACAATAGAATACATTAAAAAAAAAAAACTAAGACTAAAATTTGCGAAATAATCTATTAAACTTTTCTTTAAACTCTTTCTTCTCCACTTTCTTCTTTTAACTTTTTCTACATCTCACAAATCCTACATTAATTCTCTATAGATCTCATAATAAAAATGAAATTACAAATTGATCAACCCGAGCACGATTGAACAAAGAAGTGTACACAAAAAAAAGGGGGGAAAAAAATGAAACGTACAAAAGAATTATCCACGAGCATTAACGAACCACGACAGGCGCTCTTACCAGTAATTAGCAGTACAAAGTTAACACACCGCGCTTTGCAGAAAGCTTTATTTCACGGTTATCCTCCGCTAAGCTTCTTGTATTAAATTTACATTTTGCTCCCTAATTTTTATTTTCCTCCCCGGTATACCAGAGTTATTCGCCACATCCCCCCCCCTCTCCACTCGTAATCAAGTTAACCTTTCACCCCGCGAAACACGGGGTAAAAATTCTCGACGAACCGCCGCGTCGAGCTGATTACCGCGTAAAAACACGGTTACGTGAAAAGGGTGGTCGAAAACGTCAGGCGTGCCAACATTAAAGCGATCGTCGCTCCCTTCGCCACCGACAGATGGCTCCCCCTTGAACTCCTCCATGAACTCACCTGTCTTCTCCCTCGAAATTCCCGGCAAAGTGGCCTGCTCTTTAAGCTGCACTCCAAACATCGCCTTAATTTTATTAGCCCTGGCAAGCATACCCTCGTCATGCAGACCGGACACGGTCACCCTCCTCTGCGGTGTCGTCTCCTTCCGCCTGCGAAACATTTTCCCGCCCCCGACTTTCGCGATCGTTGCCTCGACGATGAAACGATCGGCCATAGTCGGCTCGTTCCGGCCGCCCATCACCTCGTTACGAAGCGACTCGTTCGCGCGTACGCTCAGCCCTGATCGCAGGCTGTGGCTTCGATTGATGTGCACCAGCACACCGGGCTTCAGTGGCCACCTGGGCGCGGCAGCCGGATGGACCGTCGTTTGGGTCGAGTGGGAGGACACTGTTGGACTCGGTGGCCCACCGTCTGGACTGTTTGCATCATCGGTTTGTTTTTTTTTTTTTTCGTTTGGTAATGACAGGCGACCGCGTGTCGTTCATTCGATCTTTCAAATTCGTGCTGTGTCCCGATATTCGATTGGGCATTTCATCTTAGGGTTTTGTCGATCGAGTCTCTTTATTTTGTTTAAGGGATTTGTATCTTTCGGAAATGATTATTGCAGTAGCGGTATTTTTATTTTGTTTTATTTCTTTTGAAAATTATAATTTATGTAACTTGGAATTTGTTGAAAAAGTATATATCTTATTATATTCTAGTGAATTTTTAAAATAAGTTTTATTAAAAAAAAAAAAGAAAAAGTTTAAAAGGAAAGGAGAGATGAAGTTAGGAATAATTTATCATAGTGCTATTGATGATCAATTAGGGTACTTGTTCAGGAATGAAGATGTACTTCGTGTTTGAATGAGGTGAAATGCATTGTTAGGATTATGGCGTTACATTATTCAGGTTACAGACAGGTAATCTATTATCGTGGTTATGAATTTCACTTGTATACGACATTATAGTGATTTATCACTTCAAAAGATCAATTTACCAAAATTAAGCAAAACGAGGATACAATCTCTGTATCAACGAAGATTATTTATACAGTTTCGTATCATCTTATTAAATTTAGTATTACATTTTCTTCGTCTTCTTGCCCTTTTCCCCCATTTTTCCCCATTACACAAATTATAATTTCAATTTTGAAATGTCAAAATTCGAATATTAAAAGAGACTCGATCTGCGAAATCGATAAAATCAAACAAAATGTTTGAATATTTCAAAATTCGTTCGTTAAGAGAAGCTTCATCGTTCTCCATTGTTTTAACATGACACAGAGATAGATGTCGCTTCTTTGTTATCGAAACTTTTCCTAAGATACTCGAATTACGCGATTATAATATGGACACAGCACTTAGAAAAGAGTTAGAGATAATAATAATAATAATAATAATAATAATAATAATAAAAAAACAAGAAATGAACGAAGAATCCTTTTGATTACTTCCCCTCTGCTTTGCACAAAGTCATCTATCGCCGCTTGCACGCCCTCTCTTTTCCAACTTTTTAATTAAACTTTCGCTCGATCGCTCTGACCCGTTTTCAAGCATTTCCCAAATATTTTTTTCACTCCCATTGTGTCCGATTTCACGGAGGAAACCGAAGAATCATCCTGCAATCGCTTTTGATCTGACCAATTTTTCCTTTCTTTTTTTCCCTTAATTAACGAAACGTTCGATGTACACAGAACATATGAACAGGGATTCCTCGGTCTCCTTTGATGCTTTGATAGGCTAATTTCATGTATAAGTTCTTAGGTATAAGAATAGAGATATTTGACAGTGACATAGATTCGAAAATATAAATTTAAAAGTTTTAATGATTTCGATATTATACATTAATTAAGCAGATTCTTTTAAAAACGACAAATTTAAGGATAATATATTAAATGCAAAGTTTAAACAAATTAAAATATATTCAATTTTTGATAATTTAATGTCAACAGATTTAAAATATATATCATTGTGAGAATATTTAAATATTCAAGTGGAAAGTTTAATAAGTGGGAACCTGGAAGTATAGTGACAGTGTCGATAATAAAATTTGATTCTTTTCCCCTTCTATATAACGAATTGCATATGCATAGGATATGCGTGAACGTTGGCAATTCATCAAAAGCGTCGCTCTATGAAATGTCAGTTTATTTTTTTTTTTTTTAATTTTCTACCATTCCTGCCGGAAAGAGAAGAACCGAACATCGGATTCAACTTGATGATGCAAATAATAGGAAAATAGTGTCAAGTATTTCGAGAGTATTTAAAGAAAGATATCACTGTATCGTTCATATTACCACAAGAGATTTTTTAATTTCACTCCTTTTCTAAAGAAATCATTAATTATATATTTGAAAATGGTAACGTTTTATAGAAAATTTATTCACATTCTTTTCTATAAGCGTATCTTTTAATAGAATCATTTAAATCTTAATAAATTTAAGGATTGTACAATTATTATAATATTCAAAATTTACTAACATGATTCTTTTTAGAATGAAAGACCCTGTTACAAATGAAATTGCATATTCTATTTTAAAAATCAAGCTTAGGATTACTGTTTTCATAATTTATATATTCGGTATTACTATAATATATCGCATAAGAAAAGTTCTCGAAAAAATTATAACAATATTTTAGTATCTAAATCATTAAATTTGAAAAGTTTGCTTTTAATAGAATCATTTTACAAATATACAATACCAAAATATAACATCTTAATAGTTTAATCCCTCACAACTCACGCTCAATACTCAAAAGACCATAATCTGATCAAAACAAAATCCTTCCTACTTCCATCCCGTCGTAAAAAACAAAACTGAACAAATTTCCAAAGTACAATCACAGGGATCCTCTAACTGAATTTTCCCTCCAAAATAAACGTAAACTCTTTACTCTTAACCCAGTCCTGTTTATATCGAAGCATGGTCAACAAGCACGAAAAAAAAAAAAAAATTAAACATTCACTCGACGTTGGGGAGCGCACGTTTTGTCCCGAAAAATTCTCTCACCAAGTCAAAAGGATTCTTCGTTTCAGGTCACGATTTGAACGACAGCCAACTCAATAAGAGAGAGCTTTCTACTCATCGAGCATGCAACCCTTCACCTACCTTTCACCTTTCCGAAAGTGTCTCCGCGGCCGGATAGAGAACGCGCCATTGTATCAACGCAGCAGAGAGAGAGAAAGAAAGAGAAAGAGAAGAAATCAAGAGAGGACGATGAAGAATAAAGAGAAGAACCACCCCAGCCAGAAGTGTAACTAATCGTTGGTAAATTATTCGCAACAAGGACAGGCACACAACAGGCAGCGTTGCATTCGGATAACAAAGAACCTTCGCCACCCTCGTCCATTTGCACCCTCCCTCCTTACCCATCTTACCTTGTACGCAGACTTCGACAGTAAACTATTATAAGCCGGAAGGGGTCGTTAAATTATGCAACAGGACATGCATTCACCCGTGGAGGAAGGATAGAGGGTGGTGGAAAACGGCGAGAGGACTTCCTGCGAGATTGGAGATCGGAGACAATCTCGTGCACATATCATGGAGGGTAACAGTTACATCAACGCACGCATACAGCATAGATAAGTAAGTCATAGTAATATTAAAAATTATAGAAATTCTATTTTACGCGATGAGGAGGGGTTCGAAGAGATGAAAGTGTAATGATTAATAGAGATTGGTGTTTGTTTGGATAGTTGATAGATTTCTGATATTCGATGAAACGTGTTTCAGGCTTTCGAGTAGGATTCGAAACTTGTAGGAATTTGTTTTTAAGTTTTTAATAATTAAAAAGTGGAGATCGATTATGAAATCGATTTGATTGTGATCGTGAAATAACAAATTGTAGACACAACGCAAGAAAAAAAAATCTCTAGTACGAGCTCTTCTATATAAATTTCCAAGTCTTATAAAATCATTCTTAAAAATTTTCTAATGCTATATACGCTAGAAAATCGATAAATAATCAACGCAATTTTATTCTTTAATTATACATAAAACTCTTTAATTCAATCTCTTAAAAAGATTTCTACGACCAAACAATCAAATCTCGTTCGAGAGTTTCCATTTGTCTCATCTCCAAGACACTTTTTTGTTTACATGCAAGACCATCCATCGCGCGCAATCAAACAAGAATAAAACGTAAAACTACATTTACTCAAACCATCAAGATGATATCCATTCCTCTACGAGCCCATAATCCCACCAACCGTAGTAAAAATCCTTCCACTTGATCGAAACGAGAGAATCCACAGGATTCCCTCCGGTGATTCGTGTCCCCTGTTAAACCGTTGATACGCGAAACCAGTAATTCCATCGATCAATCGATATAACGAGATTTACCTACGTCGAGTTGATATTCCGTGTAACGAGTATCGAGTATCCAGGATTAAAAAATAAATACGTGTATGTGCACAGTGGCGGCCTAAGAGCAACGCGTGCTGTGCGGGATACTCTCCGTGCCGAAAATTCAAAATGAATTATTAGGGAGGCGATTGCGCATTCAGCCGTTTTCACGAAGCGAAAAATACGTTTTCTTGGTGAAAAGCGGAAGCGCACGTTCCAACAATATCACGCGAAGCGAGCGCCAAGCGGAAATTAGGGTAACCTGTCGAAATAACAGATGTATGCAAGGCGAAAAGATAGACGAGCGTGATGGTACCAAGGCAACGCGACAGTGGTTAAAGGAATAAGAAGAAGGAGGAAGAAGAAGACAAATGCGAGAGGGAAAAAGCGCGAATTTACATTTTACACATTGGACGCGCGATTCGATCTATCTGGAAAAATGTTTCTACCTTTCCGTTTCGTTCGAAATGAAAGAAATGGATGGACGATTTTTTGTCTACACATATTAATATTCGTGATAGATTTTTGAAAGGCATTGGCGTACTTTGTCAAGTTATAAAAGGGATTTAAATGCTTGCTTCGTCCAACGCAAATAATCGATTCCTTGTAAGTCAAGCCTTAAGATACATTTTGATATATCAACTTCGATTTTTCGAATCAATGGATTATTCCAGAAATAAATTTGCTCATCGATGTTTCTAAAAAAACCGAGTCCAACTATTGAACAGCTACAAGCATTCTAGTTTTCTCAACAGTTACTCACTGTGCGAATCATTCGCATCCAAAGTGCAAAAAGTATCAACTCGCCTCCTAAAAGGGAGATAATATACGAAGCGAGAAGTGTTTAAGATGGCGCTGCGTACTTACTGTTCACGTTCCTCCAGCTCGACCACCCGATTACTGTCTGTGTTTTGTTTAGCAAGTCCAAATTAAAAAAAAGTAGAGCAGAAAACGAATCAGTTTTTCTGTGTTAGTGAAACACTACCGATGGAACGGGGCCCGTGCTGCGCCAAAAGGGGCACGATCCTTGCTCGACCGAGAGATACTCCTTCCGGCTCGAACTTTACCGTGAATTTAATTAACGCTGACTAACTTCCCAGAGGAGGTCGCGTTCGAAGAGTCGTGATACTTCGGGAATTAGTTCTTGTTTCTCGATTCGAACAGCTTGTACGACATTTTCGTTCCTTGGAATTTAAAATTTAATTTGTCCGGCAAATTTGATACAACGATAGAGATTAGGAAAATTGTCGATAAATTATCCGATTTTTTATCGGCTCGATACGAAGGAATATCTCAGGTTTTTGTTCCTTACAATGAAGTAATTAAAATTAACTTTAAGTAAGAGATAAGTAGAAAAATGTCCTCGAAGCAAGGCGTGATTGTGCGTGGCGCAGCATGGTTCCGTCTACTTAAATAATTTGTATACACGTATGCACTTGTCTTTGCATCCAAATGGGAAATTCGCATTGTCCATCTATCTTATACGATTACGTAACATAATAGAGACATGCTTTGTTTTCTGTAACTAGCATGAACTATGCGATAATAACAACGCAAAATAATGTATGCAGTGCACATGATTTATGCAAATCTGGCCGCGATCATTCGATCGAGTATAAAATGATTATATTCATACTATTTATTCATGCTATGATTTTAAATGATAATTTTTATCAATTTTCTATTTTCTTTCTCATCGCTTTTAAAAATTCTGAAAATCTTAATGACAAATTGACGGATTTATTTTCCACGAGTTATCCATTTTAGAACTCGTTCTAATAAATCGTATACCAATGATTAAAAATATTTTATGCTATAATACGTGCTCTAAATCTTCCACTCTCTTTCATATTATAATTTCGCATTTCAATCGCATACAATCAAAATTTACCAAAATTTCTACAATCGAATATTCGCAGCCAGATGGGATGGGCAGTCAATGTCAAACTTTAATACAAAACGAACGAACGAAAATCCGAGCGTATCGTGATAAATATTCCCGAATAATTGACAAATATAATTCTTCAACTTTTTTTTACGTTCGTCAATTACGCGACAATTCTCTACAATTCTCTGAGTTTAGAACAAATTCAAATTGTTAGAGAAGCCAGGAGGAGAGGGGAAGAAAAGAAAAAAAAATCTCGATCGATCTTACCTCCTGTTCTTTTTGTACATTTTTTTTTTTTTTTTTTTTTTTACTTTTTCTCGTTCCCAAAAGTTAATCAAACAAACGCATGCAACGTACGTTTATCCGCACCTGATTCATTCATTGCCGCAAAGTCGTCGAGTGGTCGTCGTCGAAAACAATGAAAATATTTCGCGGTTTTTTCCATCCCATCGATTATATCTCGAGTGTGTAAGTATATCGTCGTATATCGAAACGCGAACGCGATTGTTATGAATCTCGACACTCTTTTTCCACTTTATTTTCTGGTTAAATCGAACAGCGATTCGTAAACAAAACGAGTAAAGTGAGCGAATGGATATCAGCGGAACGAGTTCTCGTCCCATAAAGAGAAACGTATGGTCTGTTGAATGTAGATGTGGATATACAGGATGGGCCAATTTAAATGGGGATAACAGTTAAATTATCTATTTCATTTATTGTCACGCAATAAGAAATTATTTAAGACAAAATTATACTATTTAAAGAGAAACTTAGAATATAAATAGAATATTGTTTATATTTATGGACGATTTTTGGAGGGTTAATTTTACATAAAAATTGATATGAAAGAAAAGAAAAATATCGCGTGACTCAATTCAATATAAAATTGAATTGTTTATATTTTTTGCATATCAGAATTTATTCTGTTTAAAAGAAAAAAATTGGAAAAAGAAAAAGGTACATATATATATCTCTTCAAGTAGTTTAATTTTCTCGTAAAGACATTTTTTATAGAACGATAAATAACGTAGATATTTATATACGCCCTCGTTTAAATTGCCCATCTTGCATAAAAAATTGTGTTGCATTAACACAACAAAATAACAGTTTTTCATGACTTTGCCTTTCTTCTTTTTCTCATTTATTTTATTATCTCGATAATAACTGTTCTAGTGATCTATGAGATGCACCCCCTCACGAAATATCTAAAACGACAAATATGCATTACGTGCTCGCAGTTTTTCAATCTTGACAATGGGACAAGCCACCTCGTAATTATCGACTACAGTCATTATGAAATTGCATTGTTACGACATGGTTTCGTAAATTTCACAGCCGACATTTGCCGTGTAATTTTGTCGAAACGTGTAACGCATGCTTGCTTGTAAAGTTGATTCAATGAGTTTGAAATTAAAAATTAAAATACGATCCAACTATAAATTCTTAATATTCTTATAATAATAATAATTTTTATTATGAAAATTACGCGGAAAGAAACAATTGTAGAAATTTACTTTATAATTTTTAATCAGAAAAATGTTTGTGTTTTTTTTTTGCAAAATTTAAAAAAATTAAATATATAATTAATTCTTTGGAAAATTACGAAAGAGAAATTATTGGATGAAGTAAAAATGAATCAATTGAAAAGCTAGCTAAAATTATTAATTATAATTTTAATCTAACGAAAATTAATCAATTTTTACCATTTTTACATCCTCTCGAATGTTGCTGTTGATTCAACTGTCAAGCAATATATATAATGCTTATTTATCGTAGAACGATGTATCTTATGATGTAAATTATGTGTGCATGTGAACTGTTCGTGAACTATCGTGATGACAGTTTGGATTTCTTCGAGATTTTTAGCAAAAATTAATTAACAATAATTTGGAAATAAGGAACAATTACGAAATACCAAAAATATCTAGACTCTGTAAATTTTAATTATCCTTTAAAATTGTTATATCCCTCATACGACAAATATTTAATTTTTTCTTCGTTATATAATTTTGTAAAATGTCATAATCTTGAAGAAAATTCGTATGGATGGGCTAGGTCATGCGAAACGTTGTGAACAACAGATCACAATGACAATTATAACGTTGGAAATAAAGTGCAACTTACATTTCATCTGGTTTCGCTTGCGTCGACAAACGATGAAAATGATCACGCAGATGATGATTATCACAAGTATAAGGACAACCGCGGCAACGATCACGATCAAAAGAAGATTTCCTTCCAATTGATGCCACCAAGGTATATGGCCTGAAATTAATTTAACGCTATTAATATTGCACTTTCTAAAAAAAATATTTTTCATAATTGTATTAAATTACTTCCAGAAACTATTACGAAATAAGAAAATTTGTTTTTTTCTCTATTTTCAATATTGCATGTAATAATTTCTTTAACGCAAGCTTAAAATATATAGATGATTTGAAAAAATAATTTTGAGAATTTATAAAAGTCGAAAAGTTTATAAATCGATTTGGTATGATTCTACGAAATTTCCAAAAAATTTTAGAAATTTTTGAAATTAAAAGAATTCTCTTAATTTGTTCAATTGAAAATTTTAGAACAAGAACATTAAAAATTTTTCCAAAAATTAGTTTTTCCAAACAATGAGTTTTCATGGGATGAAACCTTTTTCTCGTTATTTTACGAAATTATAATTCAAATATTATTAATACAGAGAATAAGACTACCGATCCTCGAGAAAAGCTTTTCATACTTCTGCTTAGATTTAATCCATTCCCTTGATCTATAATATTTTACCAGAAGCCTTTATTACTGCGCTTATACAGGGTGCTTCATTGTAATCAACCCGATGAAATATTTTTTAAGCTAAGCAACCCATAAAACTTCTTTTTCCTCTTAGAAAAAAAAAAAAAAAAACAACGTAATCAAGATTATTTTTCATGGACTTGATTATTTTTAAGTAGCCTTCAATCCCTTTTAAACTTTTTTGTATTAGAAAAAATCTAATTTATTTAATTGATAAAGTTTATTTTTTAATATTATTAAATGTTTATATTCATTTTATATTGTTTATATTTTAAAATTCCATTAATAATAACGTTTATTTTATTATTCATATTATAGAATTTCATTTATAGAAACTGATATATTATTTTTTAAATTATATTCTTTACATTTAATATAATAATTATAATAGTAAAACTTACTTCGATGTCCATGGTGAGCTAAGAAGAAGAAACAAAGAGTATATATAATATAAAAAGAATACTATGTATGTATGCTAAATATTATTATCAAATGTTATGGAAAATAATTTTAATAATATCCGGATCGAGAATCTATATATATCATGCTATTTTATAACTACTTTTCTCAATAATATGCTAAATTATAGAGATACAATGAAGCTATTACTATGAAAATTTTAACAGTTGACCAGGGAAATGTTTATTACAAATTTAATCGCTCATATCCTCCGAGACAAAGTTGCATTTTTCTTAGAAAAAAAAAAAAAAAAAAAAAAAAAAAAAAAAAATGATAACACTTTTAACAGTTTGAGGATAAGTATCACACGAAGGGATTTTGATTATTTCGTTATTCATTTCTTCATTTATATTCATTTCTCTCCTAAATCCAATTAATAATATCAAAATTTATGTTTTAAATTATTAATTTAATAATTAATACTAACAAATGAAGAAAAAAGAAAATTTTGATTGAAGCAATTTATTTAATTATTATTCTTTTACTTCATATTGGATAGTGGCGCCATCATTTTCAGGCGTACCAACAGCACGAGAAATAATTACCATCGTTTTGACGTTATAAAATAAACGGCTATAATTAATGGAAGGTACAAATCAAATAAACGAATCCGATTTAAACCAGGATAAATTAGACTTTCGAATTTAACAGGCATTCAAGGGAAATCTAATTTACGAAGTTCGTAGCCAAATGTTCGCGTTGGATACCCCACCAGACATGGAAAAATGTGTTTCGCCTCGAGTCCGTTGCTTCTCGTAGCTTGATCATGGAATATCGCAAGAAGTAAAAATTTGGTTAATTGGAAACAACTCCGAACAAATAGTTTCATTAAAATTTTTCAGAAAAAGAAAAAGAAAGAAAAAAGAGAAGAAAGGGGGAGACTAGAAATTGTATACTATAAGAAGAAAATATAATATTGAATCAATTTATAACTTTTTTGCAATTATATGTAAATTGAAAATTAAAATCGTACTTCTTTTCATCCTTTTCTTCTTATTTACCTATTAAAAAAATAAATCTCAGTCTAGAGATTTAAATTGCTTCGTTAAATTTGCATTATCAGATAATTTTCTTTCTGAATTTGAAAATGATTATTTATTAATTTATCAAGTGACGATTGATTTATGAGTATGCTCAAAGATTGTAAATGTTTTAAGTGTACGTGACAATTATTTGTTGATATTAACATATAAATAATCTCGTTTTTCTAATTTTGCAATGCATCTTTACATAATATCGAAGGATCGTTTGAAATTTATGTGAAGTTATTATATTCATGATCATTAAACAATTTACCTATTAATTTCAAACTTTTAATCATGTTGTTATAATTTATTTAAAAAATTATTTTACATTCCTCACAAATATCTGTATCATTACTCGTTAATTATTTATCTATATCATTCTTTTTAAGGAGTTTAGAAAATGTTTCTTGAATATCACGCTTTCAGATCTCGAGCATTCCTCTTTAGGGAAGAAGAGAATTACAGCCAGACAATATAATATAAGAACCACGATGGGAATGTTGATATCATAAGAGAGAAAAAATTACGAAGGAATCCATTCTCCGTAAAAATTCGCAGCAGTTAAAGATGGAATTTCCTTCATTATTAATTCGTAAAAAACGTATTTTTTAAAAATACATCGTACACCATCATGCAAGATTCTTCGTTATTAAAAAATCTGATCACCAAAAAACGTATCAAGTGCGTGTATCAAGAAAATAGCATTTCCCAATTTCCCTACTATTTACAAATTATCAAACAAATTATTCCGTTATATTATTATAACATGTATCAATATCTTATATCAAATTCAGACGAAACCTATCATTCAATCATCTTCGTTTATCGATATATAAACAGAATAGAAAATTAACGAAGAAACAAAACTACACGGATTGGAACAATAAACCAAAACCAAATAATAGAAACAGAACAACCCATTCGTTTCGATAACTCTTATACACAATCTCTACTTCCAAATCTAAATAAATCATTAGCCGTGGAAATGGAAAACGTAGAAAAGCGTGCGAACGTGGCATACCTGGCACGTCACGGTCGCAGGGGCTGGAATGGCCGATGGAGTTGTTCGCAACGCAAACATACGTCCGGAAATTGGTCACCGACGTATCGAGGCGGATGTAGCTTTTCCCATTGCGCGCAACGGCGATCTGCTCCAGCGTGTCATTGTCACTCTTCAACGACCAAACGAAATCGGTCTCCTTCGGATTGGCCATCGCCGAGCACACCACGTAATCCTCTCCGTCTATTCGCTCCCTTTCCACGTGACACTCCGGCTTAACTGCACACGAAGGGAACAGCCGCTCGGCTTACTTTGATTTTGCCCCAATGTATCTATATATACACGTTGGATACACGTCGTAGCTCCGATTCTAAGATATTGTCTCGTGCTTGTGACATTATTCAAAGTCAATATCAAATTTCGGAGACGAGGATGAATTCGTGTATAAACATTCATTCACGAATTTTAAATATCGTGCCTGATTTCGGATTAACGATAGACGATATAAGTTTTTCTTTTTACAATATCTTAGAAAAAATTTTTAAACGATTTAAAAATGATTGAATTCTCCGATAAAAAAAAAAATATAAAAAACTATTGATTCGCTCGAGAGTAGATAAATCTTTGTCGACGTTTGGAACGTTGCTCGAGATGACTATGACGCTTTATTTCTTTACTTACATTGAACATTCATGATCATGGAGATGTTCTTGGTTCCATGACGATTCGACGCCTCGCAGTAATAGGTGCCGTTGCTCCGCCTGGGAATCGGCACTTTCAGGTCGAGAACACGGCCTTCGACTATGATGTCCGTGGAGCCCTCCCGAAACCAGCGAAAAGTCGGTTCCGGAAGTGCCTTCGCGTTACAGGTCACCGTTTCCGGTATCGTGTCGACGGTTACGTTTATTATCTTCCTCGATATCGTCATATTTTCCGGCGGAACTGTCGAACGAATAAAGATACGGGTGAAATTGGCCGCAGGAGTGAGTTGCTGCCAGTGAGCATCGGGTATCATCATCAACACTTTGGAAGCCAACTTGTCAACTGTCGCTCGCGCCGGATTTTCATTTCGATAATATCACGTGAAATTGAAATGCACGTTCTTAATAAACTAAAAAAAAAAAAAAAAAAAGAACTAACTAAAGACTACTAAATCGTGAATACTTACATTCGACGTGAAAGTGGGTGCTGCTCTTCACCCCGGATCCAATCCCGTTGCTGCTGCTCTCGCAGGTGAATTTAACGTTGTCCTCGACACGGTCGAGTTGTCCACTAGGCCAGGCGGTCAGGTTCCAGACCAGGGTCGATTGTATGCTCTCGAAGTCGTTGGTACGCGGGTCAGGCGGGTGGAGAACGTTCATCAGGTAGTATCGATTGGTTTTCGTGAAGTCCATGGGGACACCGTTTTTCAGCCACGAGATATTGCACATTGGGGCGCACTCCACCCAGCACATGATGCTAACGTTGGGCGAATTGTACACGTAGCCGTGATAAGGGAGGAGCTTCTTGATAAACGCTGGCGCCGCTATTGACAATCGAAGAACAAGTTCATCTCGGAAGTGGTGGCATTGTTATGGGTCCGGAACGAGATAAGGACCTAGTGCGAACCTAATCGAGGAACCTTGATTGTACCGTGAATTCGATGAATTTTCTTCGCTCAAATTTTCAAATTGTGACTGGATAATTTTCATCGATTGTTATCGATTCAATCGATGCCAATTTATGTATCCGAATAAAAATTGTTTAAAAGAAATCGTGAAAGGATCGAGTCGACGATACAAATAAATCTTTTCGATAAATACATTCCCGTTTATTGATCTCGAAGACTCGATGAAAATTAATAGGAAGACACACGTTCGATCGAATATTTATCGAGCAATAGTCGTTGCTTACTCTTTTATTGAAGCGAAGTGAAATGTTGCAATGTTGCTGTTTTCATATGAAAATACGAAAATCGAGTAAAGCCTAAAGTTGTATATACAGCGGATTATTATTATTATTATTATTATTATGCAAAGTGCATAAGTATAAATGCAACGCGTGTCGCCGCATACATATGTATATAATACGAATTAAATAAATGAGAAATAAAAGGAGAGATAAAGAATAAAAGGCAAGTTTACACAGTTTTCGAGATACGAATCGTTAATTTAGATACAGCACGGAAAGTATGTGTCACGGAAGCCCTTTATATATAACTTTATTCTTTCCCCTTTCTTTTCCCCCAAACACAAAAGTAATGACACGTTCCCTTCTATTTAATAAATCTTGCCACATTTTTTTTCATACACGATTTATTCTCCTTTCAGAAATAGTTTTTACGTTATATTTCGAGTCTTTTTCGAGTAAAATTGCGAAAATTTCAATCAGAATTGCAAAAGAAGTTTAATAAATAAACGAGAGAAAACCGTGAGAAAGTGAAACGAGACAAGAAAACAAGTAGAAACAGTCAACGTATGATTAGACATACGTACATAATGTCGCACGGTACAAGATGCTATACTTACAAAAACGTTATACTCATACCAAAATGTACAAACACAATTAATAATTAACACTAATAAAATAGAAAAATGAAAAAGGAAAGGAATTCTTTCTCCACTTGTTCAACCGCATTCTCCTTCAAATTCTCAAAGATTTTCCCTATCTCGTGTGTGCACGAATCTCGAATGGGAACGAACGTCACGCGAAGGGCGGATTTATATTCGATGGGGAAGTTTTTCGAGCAAACTTCACAACTCACCGGACACGTCGATAAACGTGGTGGCCGGATCGCCGTCCCCGGCCTCGTTGTAAGCCAGACAAGTGAAATTAGCCTCGGTCTCCAAATTAACCGACTCGATGGTAAGGGTGGCGTTGTTTTCATCGGGAAGTCTGTGAAGCCCTCGTAGCCATTTGAACCCGGCCACCTTCGGCCGTCCCGGGTCGAGCACGAAGCAGGTGATGGTCAACGGCCGTTTCTTTATTACCTGCTGGGGCTCGTACGAGATCGAAGCTGGCCCCGGTTTGTCTGTTACGTACGAGAGACAAGGTACCCGTTACTTCTCCACGAAAACTTCAAATTGAATTTTTATCTCGAGTCGTGTTACGCATTCTCTACTTTTGACGAATCGTATCGAAGAATCGTTTTGATATGCGTGTACGTTTCGTTTGATTCTTGAAAGTTTTTCTTTAGAAAAGGTGAATTGAAACATATTCTCTCTCTCTTTTTATCAACTAGAAAATGGAATGAAATTGAAGAATCTTTACTTCACAATTGTGATTTTTGAAAGGATTTATTATTATTGAGATAGTTTATGCGAATGTCAAGTCACGAAAACTGTGGTGATACTTGAAAATAGAACGTTAGAAGCGTTAAAAGCTAAAAGGAAAATTAAAAATATTGTATGCAAACTTGTCGCAATATGCCTCGAGAATAATAACAATAATAACCAAATAAATCTCATCTCGCGCGGAAAGAAAGAGAAACAAGGAAAGGAAAGAATTGGCCATGGATTTAAAAATTAAAAAAAGGGGGGGCTCACAATAGACCATGACAGGTGCGCTCGGTGAAAGTGGCCCCCAGCCGGCGTCGTTTCTACCCTCGCAAGAGTAGTTCCCATGAAAGGAGCGGCCCACGGCTTCGAGCAGCAGCTTGCTCGGATCGATATCGCAGAAAATTAAAGATTCCTCGGTGGTCGTGGTGGTCGAGCTGCTATTTCTCGTGCAGTCCGGAAGTTCTTTCAACAGATCACCGTCCAAGTACCATCGTACAGCGGTCAGGCTCGCCGGATTCCCGGTAACAACCTCGCAGGTCAGCGAGACGTTCTGGCGGTCCGCCTCGTTCACCGGTGTTTCCGGGTCCATTATCACCTTCACCACTGGCTTGTCTGCGGGCAGATAAGAAACGTTTCCTTCTATTTATCCCATTTTAGAATTTTCAAACGATATGTTCATCGCTCGTTTACCGCGGGATTCGAGAATCGTTTGCGAGAAGTGAACGCAGTCTTGGAATTAATTTTCGTCAAGAAAAGGAGTACAAGTATATTGATTTTTAAACTTATAAACTTTGGAAATTAGAAGAACAAATTGTTGATTTTTCTACATTGCGTTAATGTGAATATTTTACAACTTTTGCTTGTTACACGTTATTTCATATTAATAAATTCAAAAGGAGTTTTTGAAATTTTTCCACAATCTTTATCACCAATTCTTTCTCTTACTAATAAAAATTCCATTGAGAACACGATCGTATCATTCCACAACAATCTGGCAAATTTAATAACGAAAATCGATAGTAGAGAGGAAGATTTTTCCATCAAAAGAGAAAGAACAGACGGACGGGCTAGAATTTTTAAGATTTGCATCCAATGGTTCAAAACTATTCAAAACGAGGAGTATAAATTACCCAAAGCTCCGGGATAACGATCTATTTATGCCAAATCCGGCCGGATAAACAGGTGAAACCGGAAGATCCAGCCGAGGGAATGGAGGAAACTCTCGTTTCGACCATCCAATCGGGCAGAATTTGGCGAAAAAAAAAAAAAAAGAATTTCTCCTTCTTTCGCCGAGGCAATCAAGATTTCAACAAGTTCGAAACAAAGGAATCCGGGGAGGGCGAAGTCTGTTCTTCAAGGGAGAGGATGGAGAGAAAAAGAGAGAGAAGAAAAACAGAGCGTAAAGCGTGGAGAATCCGACGAAACTAATTTTCCGTGTTCGAATTCACGGCCCGCTTCCACGGATTGTTTTCGCAAAATACAACAGGCCGGAGGCTAAGGGTGCAATTAGAATTTCATTGTATCGCGGCTCGAGTTTACGGTAACGGGACGTTAACTTCCTGGAGAGGCGGAAATGGCTGACCCAATAACCGGTGCGCCACGTGAGAAAGGATCTTATTTAATTCCACGCTGATACACAATTCTTCCCCGATAAAAGATTGGAGTTGAGTGAGTTCTGACTCAATACCGTTGACTAAGCGAAAGTTGCAAAAATGCCGATCTTATTCGTCGAGTTGCGTTCAAGATTTTGGATATCTTAAATTATTTTTGACACCGCTACTTGTGCAACTCTTTGATGAAGTCACTTTGTCCTGCGATTAAAGTGAAAGTTGATTTGGATATCTTAAGAAGATTTTGGATATCTTAAATTATTTTTGATACCGTTTCGTGTGACTCTTTGACGAAGCCAGTTTATCCTGCGGCGCTCTATCGGAACGCTTGGATAAAAAACTCGAAACTCTTCTCCCTTTCTAGTTGTTCTATCTCGATAGCGGTTCTATTGTGTATCTGTACAACTTTGCATTCTGTGTTTCAGGTTAACAGGCGTTTCAAGTTCGTCAATTTTGTCGTGCTTTGTTTAAAATTAAACCTCTCTCGTTTACTTTCCCAGGGTTTTTATAAAAGTGTATAACTAAATGTCGAAAGTTGGGGGTAACATAGTTTCGAGAAGTTTCAAATTTCATTTCTGACACGATTGTAGGGAAGTCGTTTCCTTCGAAAGGGAGGATTGAGAAATTGGATGTGAAAAAGAGTTGTATGTTTATTATTTATACGGAAAAATTTACTTAAAAGAAAATCATCTGTAATTTTATTAAATCTTGTTTAATGTTGAATCGAAAACAAAGTGTTTTCGTGAAATTTCTTACTATTGTATGAATTCTACCGAAAAATAATACCAAGTCTTATATCTTTCTTTCTCGGAACATGGCAGTCTGAATCTCAAACCTTCTTACAACTTCTTCTGAATCTGTTTGATAAATGGACCTGTCCACGATTCTCGCGTAAAGAAACCCGAAATTCTAAATGACACAAGGGTGCGATACCTAAATCTCTCGATGGAAATTCGTTCTAAAAATTGTAGAGGGAGAATCGACTGGTTTGACTCGATATCATTCATTTTCCCTTTCCCCATAACCCTAATACCTGTGAAATTGCTGACACCCTAAATTCGGCTTAGACAAATATTGTTGAAAAATTCAATAAAATGGAAACGAATTTTCTTACAACCTTACACGCGATGTTGTCAATGTTTTCAAAATCAATTCCGCAATATACAAAATGACAGTCGAGTGACGTTAATTAGACAATTAAGGACAAGCTGGTCGAACAATGGCAATGATGATGCGAGCAAAACAAGACGATCGTATTCAGACGATAATAAGCCACAGCAAAACAACGAAATTAAAAAGAAACGCGTGCATAACAAAGTACGAATAGAAATTGAAAAAAATGGCTGAATCCTAATTACGTACTCGATGCGACAACAAAAGATATAAGATCGATCGATAATGAAATTGGCTATGAAACGATTCACGTCTGCCGACGTTGTTGAAAACGAACGGGCCGATTTGACGATTCGTGTAATTGTCCGGCTTAATTAAGATACCTCATTATTCGCAGCATGCCCGCCTCGCTTTTCATTTGCCCCGTTTAAATAAAGCGACTGGCTGCCCTGTCAGCTCGATCAATTATAACTTAATATCGCCAAGTATTTCGGCCTTTTATCGTCGAAACACGTGTAAAATCGGCGTGATGCGTATAAATTCGGCGACGATAACGGCGCGACGAATAAATTGCATCTCCCGTCACGTTCGATCGTTTCTTTTTTTTTTTTTTTTTTTTTACCTAGCGTTGATTTACACCCGACGAATAAATAATCGTCGAACGATTTATCGTTCGGTTCGAGACTCGGCCGAAGGAAATTAGTCCTTGTAATGAAGATAAGTGCGAAATGCATGGGCCGCGCCAAGGACAAAATGGCGCGGATAGATCGATAACAAGAGGGTGGTTACGTTTCTTTTCATCCTCATCCTTTCATCCTCGAAATCGAATATTTAACTGGTTGCAAACTTGTTCCTTCGAATTCAGGATAAAATGAAATGTTTGTGGAACAGAAGAAATTCTTTTTCATCGTTTGTGGAAATGCTTTCACTGTATATAATAAAAGCACAAATAGGAAAGATTATAAAATTCGTGCGATAAATGCAACGCTATCCGCCATATGGAAAGACTTTTTGAATCTTGATTTTACAAATTTTAAAAAATGAAAATTAAAATTAGATAAGTTTTACAATTATTCGAAAGTCCAACATAAAGTAACGACAAATAAAATTATTACTAATATGATAAAAAAAAATATTATCTTAACGACACATTGATCACAATTATTAATTTAACTACGAATTGGATTCGAATTGTCTGTGTGGTTAAATCGTGCACCGATTTAACCATCAATGGCGTTTACATTACAATGGGAGGAAAAAAAAGGTTTGCAAAGAGAATGTTGGACAGATTATGTTTGGGAATAAAAAAAAAAAAAGAGCAGGCATTACGTACGTTCCGGCATTGGTTTTAAAGCGGAACTCGCGAAAATTTATGAACGCATAAATATCGTTTACCGGAATAAAACGCGATAAATTGTCGTAATGCGAAACGGAACGGAACTGTTTCTACAGGTATCTTTTCTTCGATTTTATTCTTTTCGAATTATTATCAAAAAGATTATTTCAACGTCGAAAATTCATTAACGTAATATTATTTCACGAAAATTAGTAAAGATTAATAGATTTAAATTTGTTTGGACAATTTTTCGTGCAGAAAATTTGTTGAATTAATCTGATTTCGAACTCTTAAAGTGTACGTGTACATATATATGATTTTTGAATTTTCAGGATTCACTAATTTCGAAATACTCACACAGAACAGAGACTTGAACCACGTCCTCCGAAGCGGATGCGGCAACGTTATTCTCTAGTACACATTTGTAAGTGCCCATGTCACTGGGTGTCGCATTTTTCACGGTGAGGGCCGTTTGCTCCGTGATACCGCCCTCGTAGTGATCGTCGGTTAGAACTAATTCCTTGTCGTCTCGATACCTGAACAAGTAAATAAAACACACTCTGTAGAGGGGTATGTAAAAAAGACCAAAAAAAAAAAAAAAGGAAAAACAATTCGTTTTGTTTTACTTAATATCTATATATTAATTTTTTCAATTTCTTCTTATATTAAATGTATTTGATTGTATTTATATATTTTTGTAAATACTTTTGTACTACGAAACGATCGATGCAAATCATTATTTTCGAAATTCCAAATGCCTTGATAATTTTAAATCCAAAAAAAAAAAAAAAGAAAAAACGCAAAAATGACCAAAAATTACACGTCACGCAAATAGAGCAAGTGCTGAATCCATGGAAATCTGATTTAATCGAACGAAACAACTGGCACGCCAGTTTCAGATTTTTCAATATTTTTAGAACATTACACCCCGCTCGAATCAATTTGCAGCGCGAAAAAACATGATCGAGGCTGGTATCTCCATTTTCCCATGAAAAATATTTTAATTCGTAATCGAAAGGAATATTGACGCGAACCAAATAATATTAAACACGCGTTCCCTTTTCTCATTCTATTTACAGTTAAATCCATGTGATTTTTAATATTCGACATGGAATAATAATACACGATGAAAATCGATTTACAATCTAAACGAAAATAATCTCTCTGTCTCATATATATACTATAAGTAATAATAATTTGAAAACAATGAAAGAGGAAAAAGTTGTAATATTTTTTTTTTCAACACGAAAATTTAACGAAAATGACAGGCAAAGTAAACCAACGTGCAGACAAATATATGTAAATATAAAATAGTGTAATAATATCAGCAGAAAACACTAGTTTAAGTTTAAGTCAAATAGAACTGAAAAATATTCCATTCGTATATCATCGAACATACGTCAAATAAAAAAAGAATATAATATATTATTTAAAAGAAATACAGGTTAAATAATATTATTAATAAAATATATATATATTTTCCTTCTCCAGACGCTATCACTATTTTTAAAATTGTAAAAGCAGTATTTTTAAAATTTATGAAAAACATCGGCCCGTATCATCGCCCTCTGTGCATCAACATCAAACGAGCATCGTTCGTTTTTTTCACGTTCCAATTTTTCCCGGTAAAACTCGATCGATGATCGATGTCGAGGCGTAAAGTAGCCATCGAACAGATGACACTTAATCAGCGCATACCAACCTCTCTCCCTCTCTCTCTCTCTTTCCCTCTGGTAATTACCCGGTGCGATCGAGCTCGTTGAATTTTTATTGCACCGCATGGCGGCAATTTCTTACCCCGAAATATTTCCCTCTCGTACAACCAGACACCCATGGATTGAAACCAACCCCCTCCCCTTCTTGTGCGCGTGTACACGCGCCATTACATGCATCGGGGTGAAATATGGTTTTTAGGGCGGGCGAAGAGAAAAATATAATAAATCATCCCGATAAATTCGCGCCTTTTTTATTTTGACGTTTCGAATGCTGGTGTCGAGCCCGCCGCTCGTTGGATACTTTTAAATCCCTCCACTTCCGCTCCCGCCAAGCCGCGTAAATATTCGTTGGTTCGAGGGATTTTGAGGGGGTGTTGAACGAAATTCATTCACACCCCTTCTTCTTGGTTGGAATATTCCCTTTAAAAAGGGGTTTAAGCTTCTGCTAAATAAGAAAATTCCGTAGGGCGTTAATCACGTATCAATAATATTGATCGAGGGCTATTGCAAAAATTTGCAATTCAAAATATATTCATTTGCAATTCGTTAATTGATCAATACTCAGCCGCTCGAGAGCGGCTCGAGAATATCATTAACTCTGGAGTGATACTTGCCAGAGAGTATGTGACGTGATTCTACGTTAAATATTGACGTTGAAATTCAGTATCATCGGTGTAAAAGATCGATAAATGGTTTTTACAAAAAAAAAAATTAAACCGTCTGATATTTCAATCTCTGATATTTCGTTTTACTTTTTTTTCTTTTTAAATCTTCTCGTATCGTAACACTTTAATAGATAAATTCCAACAAAATGTACTTCACATCGCGATTCCTCCGTAATCGAAGAACGACAACAATAAAAATAACGCAAACAAGACTTATAAGAAAAGATTTCACATTCGAAGTAACCTTCCCCTAATAACATTTCCTACACCAAAGGAACAAAAATTTCCGCCTAAATACTTCGATCGACCGTGTATCCCATCGTAAACCCTCTTAACAGCTTAAAATCGTTTTTGCAAAACAGCTTTTCCGTTATTACGTTATAAGTCGATAAAGAAACTGTATCGTCGCGCGGCCCAAGTTCATTCAATCCAATCTTCGCTCGTTCCAGGATTAACTTGCCACCGCCGGTTTTCCTTCCTTTTTTCCTCTCTTTCTTTTTCTTTGGTAACACGGTTAGTCGAGGCGGTTAGGACGAGGCGTTATAAACCCGCGCGAGCACAATAAAGTTGGCCAGTTTCGCAGAGAACGTTGGATTCTCGGGAGGATGTTCGATGGAGGTGTCTTCTAACGCTTCTTAAGATAACGCGTTTAAAGCGAGTCGTTTAAAGAGCATCGCGGATGCTGATGGCTCGATGCTGAAGCGGAGGAATGGTATTCTGATAAACATGTGTGGCTTTCGTTTAGTCAGCCAGCTTTTATTAGCATTCAAGAAGAAGAAATTTTAGGATTCGATGTTGTATAATGTGAACAAAATTTGATGTTAGTCGAGATTTTTGTGTTCGCTTTTCCTTCCGGATCTTTCGATCCAAAGGTTTTCTATTGAATATATCAATAATCTTGTATATTGCGATGTATGTAAGAGTCAATTATAGGGTATAGATGAGTACTCAAACTCATATTGAATCGGGATACGATCCATAGTTTGCCCTAAGTTTTCTTTTTGCATTTTGTCGAATACGTGGAAAGAGTAAAATGAAAGAGAAAGTCAAAATGTATCGATATATCAATCGATTTTTAATTCCAAAGCTCGAAATTCCCTTCGTTATCGAGAATAAAGAAAAAGAACGGTTGAATGTAAAAATAGATGAAAATCGGTAATTTTAATCGCAATTGTTATTCCAATAATAGATTAAAGCGAGATCGAATTGAATGAATTAAAAATTGAGAGTAATGAAAACAATCTTTTAGAGAAAATAGTAGTAAATTCATGAAAAAGGGAAATAGAGAATCGAATCAATCAACGATATATATTCTGAGTATAATATTTGATAACAAAGAAAAGAAGACGAAACGATGAATAATTAATGAGTAAAGGGAAAAAAGCAAATTATTCCATATCCATCGAATTGATATATCGCAGTTTTGCGTGGAAATGATGTGCCCTTGAACACGTTGAGAAGATTTATGATGGTTTTTAGAAAAAAAAGAAAAAAAACATATGGATCAATGTTGAATAATATTGCTTTTTAGGTTTAACAGTTTCGCGATTTATCACGCGTTCGATATATCGAATCTCTTTTATGCACGATTCTCAATATGTCTGTACTTTCTATCTCGTACAAAAAAAAAAAGGAACGAAAGTAATGAAACTCGATGCATCATTATTTAAAACTTCTGGACAATTAATTGACCGAGAGAAAAAAAGAACAAGAATTTTATCGCCTGGAAGTAGAAACGATAAACCGCAGAAACTTGGAAGGGAGAGAAGAAAAAAAAAAAAAAAGAAGACAAATAAAAAATTTTCGATAAAGTTTCCAACCAATTACTCTATTCAGAACGTGAGTTGCACCGTAATTCAATGTGCGTTCAACGTGGAACAATTTACCTTGATCCTAACAACAGCGTTATAACATAATTTCTTGCTGAATTGCCTCTTGCTTATATTCCTCGCTCGTTTATATACTCTTATTTCTTTTTTCTTTCTGTGAAAAAATTCTATATCGATTTCGCGAAAACTCGCTCTATAAAACGAATCTATAACACTTTTCCGTGCTACTTTCCTCCTCCGGAAGTAGAAGAGTTTGATAAACGAGCAAAATCGTTCACCAGAAAGAGAGAACGTGTCAACATCTGAAGAATGAAAAACATGGATTTACGTGATTCAGGGTGGGCCATGTGGTAAAGACAGGCAACATAAATTCGTGATTCTTTCCTTTTCTTTTTTTTTTTTTTTTTTTTTTTTTCGTATTTGTGCTCAAAACGTGTTCGATCAATTTTTATCGCGAGACCAGTGGGCCATAAACGTGGCACACCCTATTTTAAGGAAATTCGCCATGCGTGTTTTAAAATTGGTCGAAACGAAAGAATAAACACGATCCCGATAGCTGATATATGCGGATAAAAGCGTGAAATTTACCATTGTTTTCATTTCTAATGGGAAACGATAAATTCAATGAATTATAGATGTTCCCTATTTATAAATGAGAACGATTCATTTTTTGAACGCACTTTTTGTTCATTTTCATCGAATTTATGGAACGAACGAACTTGACGCGTTGTTGTTGTTATTTTATTTGAGTATCTATCCTAATGCAAAGTTTGAGTATATTCGTGGAACGTAATTTTGAACTGACTCTTGGAAATTGAAAGTTAAAAAAAAGTGTTTGTATATAAAAATTTCGTCGATTAATTATTGAAATTGTACAAGCAATATTCATTCAAGTGGCTTGCCAGATTTTATTAATATTGATTAAAAATATTATTGAATTTACTTTATCAAATTAATAAAATTCACTTGTTTATTCAATCGTTTAGAAATATCTCCTCTCCTTAAAGTATGTGCATTCGTTAATCACAAAATCAATTCGGATCAATAGTACCGTATCTTCGTATATTTAACGAACACAAATATGTGTAATTAGATTTCTGTACAAAGTAAGCATTATTTCCCCTCTATATTGGAAAATGTAAGAATAAATACGTTCAATGAATTGCGTCCCCAATTTCTGCTATTAAGTATTGATTTACTGCAATGTTCAATTGCTTCGTGGTTTATAGAGGATTTTACAGTAATGAAAATATAATTGAATTTGGCCACCGATATAAATGAATTCGGCTTTAAAATTATTTCTTAGAAATTATAATATGAAATATCAGACGGTTGATATTTTATTTTTTTAAACTAAATTAAATTAATAAAAATTCACTTACCACGATACTCTCGTTAGGGTAGCCGGGTTAGCTTCGTAATCGCAAAATATTATAAAATCTACGGTTTCATTTACGGTGATATTCTCTGGCTTCATCGTTACTATAGGCGGATCTGTAAAAGAGAAATTAATTTTTCATACATTAATACAAATTCTTGATTAACAATTATCGAAAAAATCACTTTCAACTTAATGATAAATTAAGTCTAGAAAAAAATCTATCAACAACAAATGTTATTCAATATGTAAATTGGAATAAATTTAAAGTAAACGCAACACTATTTTTACAAAAATTTTCCAAACAACCACAATATCCACGCTACGTCGTAGCCCACTTGTATCTTCGCGTTTCTTAAACAGAACTCGGGGATAATTCGATTAAAAGCGCCCCCGTGAAAATGTGGAAACTCTCGGCGCGAAGATGAAAAAGAGATGTCGAGTGGATCTTATTTCACCGAGATTTTATGCCGAGCATGTGTCGCGTGAAAAGAGGAAACTGAAAAATATGACGTCACAGAACACGTAAATTGAACGATATAATGCTACGAAGACTAGAAAAAAAAAAAAAAAAAAAAAAAGAATTACAACGATTTGATTAATAAAAACTAATTTTCCAAAAGAAAAAATTAAATTACCGTTGCAATGAAAATTCGAATCGACTTTTCCTTATCGATGAATAGCAAAAAAAAAAAATAAAAAAAAAAAAAAAAGGAATTTCAGTAACAGAAAAGCGCACTGCTATCGATATCGTAGAAATGGAAGGGTATCCATATGCATGCCTCCGAAAATACGTGGCCGCGAGACGTCTGGAATTAAAATAACGCTTGCCCGAAGTCATGGGAAGCGGAAGGTGCAGGCCTCGTCCGCGTTCCGCGAGATATGTTTAAACGCGACGGCGCAAAATGCCCGGCATAAAACAAAACCCTCGTAAATAAGCGAGAGTGGACTCTCCCTCTATAGAGGAAGTTGGAAACGCGCCAACCCCGCGAGTTTCACGTTTCCAATCCGTGGATAGTTTTCCTGCTGGCTACGAAAACGAAACTTTCTCCCTTCCAAACCCATCCCACCACCCCCGCCCGAGATGGAAACACGAACCAGACGCTCCCACAGTCTTGTCCTCCTCCCGTGTCTCTCGTTATGACGGAATCTTCCGTCTGGGTGGAGCAATTGAAGAGATGTAACGAAAGGTTTGAAAGGGAACGTTTCGAAATAATTTCACCAGGTGGCGCGAGTTAGTACGCTGGACTAAGTTAGGTTAGGTTAGGTTAGGTATCGTATCTTCTTAAGCCTCGCAGTTTTTAGCGTTTGGATGAATTGAAGGAGTTGGATATCAATCCTTTTCTGTTTGATTTTTTCTTTTTAGATTATATTATGAAAATTAATTGCAGAAACTGATTCTTCAGTGGAAGTTGGAAAGTAAAAACTGGATGAAACGAGTGAGGTATATTTAGTTAGGTGGAAATTGGATTTTAAATATGGGGAAGATTAGGATCTTTTATCCGAGATGTTTAAGCAGCATCGAATGGAATGCGTTGCAATTCTATGGAGTCGTAAGATAGCGAGGGATTACCATGATGCTCCACGTTTTCTTAATGGCGATGGTGAGACTGGTAGATGAAAAGAGCTTTTTCTGGTCGAAAAACATTAAAGGATTTACGGAGAGAAGAAGATAAAGAATGTAATTTTTAAATTTCTTCGAGGATATATCGTTCCGTCGAGATATTTAATCCGATAAATCGATAAAAAAGATCGTGATGACAACATCGCCGATATCTAATTTTAAAATTAACGATAAATAAATAAATGAAATATCCTCTTAAAATATAACAATTAATGACACGTAAAGAATTTTCACAGTTTCTTCACTTCCTGTAACAAAATACGTGTAATTGCAAAACGAACGAAATTCCATTATTTCCATCCCACAAACAACAACAACTTTCCTCGGATTTTTATTAAACAAAACGCATTCCCAAGCAATTCGGAGATATTTCGAACATATTCTTCCTTTCCTCTAAAAGATTAGCGGATTATCGAACGAGCATCGAACGAATCTAATTCGGGTTAATCGGATCTACGATTATATCCTTTGTGCCGGGGTGAAAAAGCAAATTGGAGAGGAATGAAACAGGAATATATACAACTGTGATCTGTGAGGTGTAACTTAATTCCAGGCATGCCTCCTACACGTTGATCAAACACACGGTGAAAAAAATTCCACCCCCTCGCGGAAGAACATTCGAGTCGTTACGCGCACCTTTATTCCTTCGGATCGGCATGGCTAAATTACAGCCGATTCTTTGCGATCCTTTTTTCTTTTTCTTTTTTTTTTTTTTTTGTGGACGAATCGTAGGGCAAAAATTCGTTTTAATCGTGCCTTTCGAGAGACAAGCGAATGGTAATTCCATCGACGAACGACTTCGACGACAATGACTGCGATGTTTTCGATTTTTCGATTTTCGGTGCAACGAGCTTAATTGTCCGATTTCGTTTTAATCCCTTTTCGATTCACCTTTTTGCGTGATAAGAAATTGTAGTTACATTTTACGAAATTAATAATTTATGGAGAAAGTTTATGTATAAAATTAATGTATAAAATGTAATTTATCATATAAAATTATGTAAAATTGTTTTATGAAATATATCATCATTTTAAAATTGGCAAAGTAGTTTGACACTGTTTTTTTCATTCTAAAATTATCATTTGCTTGTTCAACATTTATTCTTGAATCTTATTCTCTTTAGTTTTTGAACATATTTCGATCGATTATCAATAATTTCAATGATGAAACGAAAGTTGAATGGATATTTTCGAAAGGAAAGGAAGTATGAAGAGTCATCAGTGCCAAAAATATTTCATCTTTGTATATCGAGCAATGAATATTTTAACGCGCTAAAAAAAACCGAAAACGAGGGAACGAAATGTTATTAAATACGTTAAAGCTTCTCTTAACTATGATAAAGTGTAAAATCAAAAAAAGCTATAATCCGATCATTCCGATATTCGTTTATTATAATTATATCTTGTTTCAATATGCGTGACCCATATTTTTCCACTTTAGTCATTAAAGAATTTAAACGTTTACTATAATCGATAAATCTTTTTTCAATGGATAATGGCCTATAATTCCTAATTTTATAGAAAGCAAAATTTTCGTTCGTATCTTGCTTGATAAAATATTTTAATTTAGATAATTTAGATAGTTCTAGTGGATATTTATTATTCGTCAAAACATTTAAGAAATATCTTCTTAATATAACCCCAACAAACATATTTTTATTTCGAAATGCTTAAAGGAATATTTTAATTAACGTGGAAAAAAATTGCATCAAAACATCAAAATATTTTTATTCATATATGCTTTTTACTCATCCCCATTCATATTTCCATCTTCATTTCCCAATTAAAAACCTATCAAACCCATAAGTTTTGCATGCTTTATACATTCTCTTTCTCTCTTGAAAGATGAACAAAGAAAAAACTGGCGTAAAATTCGTTCAAAAATTGTTTTTCCTCCTTAGATAAAAAAAAAAAAAAAAAAAGAAACGAGGTGATTGCTCTATTCATAAGAAGGGGAAAGAAACAGCACATAAAAGAATTACGTTTCTTACTTACATAAAACTTCGATCGTCGTCGACTCTATCATCGGTTTCATGTCCTCGGAACGTGTGACCGAGTTCTCGGCGTAACACTTGAACGTTCTTCCATTGTCGTACACAGAGGCCGTGAAAGCGAGGTAACCTATGGTCACCGACGTGCCATCCTCCTGCGAACACCAGAGAGATATATTAAATCGTCGATGGGGTCATTTGTTAACAGGAAGGATCGACGAATGTTCGAAATGTTCGTGATTCGTAACCTTGCTATTTGTTTTCAAAAACTGCTACTCTCGGGAATAGATTTATTCTATCACGTTCCAATCCTTGATCCAGAGATTCTCCCTTCCAATTTACCCTACCCTCATCCTCTCATCTGTCTATACAAATTGGAAATTATCAAATATAGAAGAACGTAATCGAGATCGTAATTCTTCCTTCCATATTTATCTTCCAATCGCGACAACACGAGATGGAGAATTTAAAATTCGGGATCGATCAACGAAATACACATCCGCGACTTTATTTCCCTGTTATTGAAGGATATCGATCCTATCGATGACTTTCGACTCTCCGCATCCAAACGCGCAATTACTTTAAAAAACAATCCAGGATGGCCGATTCCAATTTTCGTCTCTGCGAAAAAATCGAGTCGGGAAGAGAGTTCGAGAGTTTCATATTTCTTCGAAATTCGATTTCGCGTCGCGGCGAAAGGAGAGAAAATTGCGTTTGTTGTTCGACCGAAACGCAAAACGGGGCGAACAAAAGGCGGGAAGGAGCGAGGAGGGCGAGTGACCGCGCAATCTGGCCGCACAATGTCCGCACACCACCCATCGCTTTAATTATTTCGCCGCCTTTCACGCGATTGTTCCCGCCACAGATCTGTCCATCCGCGAGAGAAAAATGCTTTCTTCTCGTTTGGGGGAGGATGGATGCAAGTTAGCGCGGGGGGGAACAATGAGTTAATCAATGGAGAGGCGCGGTCAGGGAGCGGCCTCCTTTCGACGGTGCATCCGCGCAATAAAAGGATCACGTTGGATGGAAAATTTATATATATATATATATAAAGAGAAAGGGAATTTTGAGGTTTCTTGAGGCTCGAAAAATTGATTTTTCTCGTGTACGATTGACGTGGAGGGTGATCCTTGTTAATTATAACATTGGAGAAGGGAGGTCTGTTCTATTTTTGTGTGGAGGGTGGTCTTCGAGTCGTGGCACGACTGTGAACTCTATTTAGGGGAAATGTAGAATGATATTTTTTTGTTAATTTGATTTTCGAGAAGAGAATTGAATTTAATTCTACTTATTCCTCCAGTTTTCGTCTGTAGGGGATGGGCTTTGTGATTAGTACGATCAAAAAAAAAAAAAAAAAAAGGGGGGAAGAGAGAGATGATTCTACAAAGGGAGAAGCAAGTCGAAAATTGAATTTGGAAATTTTTTTCATTTGAAGTTTTGTTTTTGAGAAAATTAAATTTGAAAATTTTATTTTTGACAGGTTTTCATGCATGTTCTCGTGTATTTAAAAGAGGAAGGGGAGGGGGAGGGAGGAGGGGAGTCTTGTAATCACAGTACTGGCAGAAAAAAGAATAAGAATAAATATAAAACATTTTTTAAACTTGAAGTCTCGTTATTTAAGGATATGAATATAAAAAATTTCTTTCGTGATACAGGAACAATTATTGACATACGCTCCAAACAATTTTAAAAAGTTAATTTTGAAACATATCGATATGATAAAATCGAATTTCAAATAATATTCTACAAAGGATTGAAGTTTAATATTTTCTTCCTTCTCAAGTTTTTAAATACAGACAATTAAATTGGATTTTTCCGGAGAAAATATACTGTATTTTAAAAACTCCAACACAATTGAGAAAAATCTTATAAATTAAATTATAAAAATTCATTAAATGATAAAAATATACTCCTTGTATATAGATACTCGTTACAAAAAAAAAAAAAGCAGGAAATTAATAAATTTCATTCGAAAAATATTCTAATTTTAATTTCAACGGGGAGAAAAAATTTAACCAGAATAATGCTTGTAAAAATAATTTTACAAAAAAAGAAAAAATCTTAAATTAATAATTTAATAACTTCCAGCCATCGTAATAAAATTCAATAATGTACTTCTTTTTACGAACAAGTGGAAAAATCGAAGGAAAAGAAGATTGATACAACTTTCACGTATCTATCCATCCATTCCACAATTTATTAGCCTATAAAATTTCATAAACCTATTTTATTAAATTCGATAACGTCGTTGGATTTTTCCTCATCTTTTTAATCCCTTCAAATTTAAACAGTAACGATTTCATTACCGACAGAATTCTTTATCATCTTCTAAAAATACAAAAAAAAAAAAAAAAAAATCATTCATTCGATTCGTCCTACATATTCGCTTCAACGAATAAAATTCCCAATTAACCAACTTATACCTCGATTTTTTTTTTAAAAAATGTTCACACTCAAGAAAAACAAAATTCTCGTGGAGATCTTCAAGTCGTCAAACCAGTTATATTCCTTCTCCTTAAAAAAATATCTTCATCGTTCAGAGTTAAAAAAAAAAAAAAAAGAAAGGATAAACTTTAAGGAAGGCAAAGAAAAATACCAGCCATTCCTCCGCGTTTCAACGCGTTTATATGTACTCTAAGTCCGGAAAAGACGAATGACTCGCGCCTTCCGCTCCATAAATTGGCCGGTACATCGAAGACGAGCGGAAGGAAAAAAAGAAAGAAAGAAAGAAAGGTGGATCGAAGTTGTCCACGCGGATCCACTTAATCTCGCTTAACACGGTTCGTTCGTGCATCGGCGAGCATTTGCGGCCCCTAATTACTTGGCTCTGTGTAAATTCTGTCTGTTGCCACCCCCGCGCGATTCGATCGTTACGTCACCGGTGGTGCCATAATCAGCTACTCGGTAAACAATGCTAATTATGGCACCAGGAACACGCGAAACACCGCATGATGCGAATCTAAAATCGCGATAATGTAATTCCTCCTGTTGGAACGATTAACGATTAACTGATTAAATACAAAGACGAATCACTTTGGCGTGTAATAGTGTAATACTACGAGTGTTGGATACGTTTAGAGACTGGAAGAGATTTGCGATCGAATCAAATTTGAGCTTTAACTCGTCTATTTTATTTTTGTGAATGGAAGAGTATAAGTAAGTTTGATTATCATTATTATTTTTTAAATTGTGTGTACCATTGTAAAGGGTCTTAAAAAAAGTTAATGATTAATGATTAAACACGGATTGAGATAATTAAGGGTGATTAGGAAATTTTGGTGAGATGGTGTTACTTTTATATTGCATTTGTGTTTTCATTGGTGTATGATTCAGCATAATAATATGAGTATTTTAATTACTTCAGAAATACGAATATCACAAGCAAATCATTGATTATACAATTTCAAATACAAATTGTACAGCAAGTTGAAAATTTCAATATCCTCTTCCAACTCAAAAACTTCAACCTCTTCGACTCCCTTTTTCCATTCAATCTTTATCTTTACCTTTTTCTTTTAACTTTTAATAGATTGTAATTAATAATGTATAATATAAACTAATAATCACGCTCTAAATCGCAATACATTATGACTTTTTCAAACTTAAACGAGCGCTCGATGCCAGCACCATAAATGATGCAAAAAAGAATTGAAAAAAAAAAACGAAACGAAATAAGAGAAAAAAAACAATGAAGAGAAGAAAAGGAGGGGAGGGAAAAGAAAAAGCTGATCGATTGACGCGAGTTAAGGCGATCCTATTTCTTATTCAGCCATCCAAAGTTGAAGCGACTTTATAGCCGCGGATATTGCCATAATGGATTTATGATGGCTGCGATCCACACGCGCGCACGCGTTATTACGGGGGACACGAAATGACGCATAATGATTTTCCGATGCGACAACCCCGGGAACATCGCCATTTCATCTGTGAAATCACTTTTTCATACGGCGACAACCGACACCCGACGCCGGCTCTCGCCGTATGAATAATCGTCGGCCGGAAATTTCACGGGCGTTGAAAATGAAAATTTTCACGGGGAGGGGGTGGGCTGATTTCACACAGCGCAGTTTACGCGGATCACGGTTATCTCGATGAATAACCGGGACTCGTTTCACTCGATTTCGGCGCAGAGTTGACGAGGGCGGCGGGTGTAATGAGATCGAATTGATCGAATTTGGTTGGCGCGCGCCACGTGTCCGCATAGTGAAAATGATCGTCGTTCGATGTTTGTCTCGTGATATCAAGTTACGACCCGGTCGGTCGATTGAATAACTTTATCGCGTGAAACTATTTCCAACTATTCCGCTGCGTATCGCCCCCCCCCCCCCCGATTATTCTCTCGTGCAGTTTGTTTTCACGTGTGTTTCTGTGCGCCGAAGAATATTTCGAATTATATAGAGGAAGGGAATATTAGACGTTTACTTTTATTAGAAGTTTTGACGATGAATTGACAATTTCTCGAGATTAACTAACAACTTGAGGTAGAACATTTTTTTAAACATGAATTTAAAAATGAAAATTCATTTTGAGGATTTCGAAAAGCAATTCTTTTCTTCCTTTTATTTTGCAATCGAATCTAAAAATCGCGATCGAAAATTATATATAACGCGCCAGGATAATATGCTTCGCCATCACGAATTCGCTTACATCGTCCAGTTAAATTGTATCACGTACACATTTTTCACGGAACGAGAGTGGAATCGGGGGACAAAGCGAATATTCTCCTCGAGCTGGCTAATCGAATTAATTCGGAGCGAACGATCCGAAGAAATCACGGGGGTCGAAATTCGCGCGAAGTATATTCTGCATTTGAATAATTGCTTTCTCGCCTCGCCAACTGCGAATTCTGTTTATTCGAAAGTAGTTTATTGCTCGTGAACTGGCTCTCTGCGAGAGACATCAAATCGGACAGGAGGGGGGGGAGAAAGAGTGGGACACACTTTGTTACTCGAAATGTGCGTTCGAGAATGGCGTTGAAGGGACGCGTTGAAACCGATTGTTCCAATCGATAAAACGGGGAGAGCTCGAGGGAAGAAACGCCGTTAAGGAATTTCAGCAATGAAATAGTGAAAACGTGATCTCTCGAACCGATTTGAAACGAGAAACTTTATGACTTTTAGATCGATACTCGGGGAAGAAAATATGATAATAATGAGACAATATATATTCGACGCTGATAAAACGTTCGTGAATTCAATTGTGAAGGAGTGTGATGTCAAAGGAGACGTGTGTAGCACAACTTTCTACCTTTGTAATTGTATACAAATGTAATATTTTTTGCAAATCGCAATTTCAATTATTGTATTCGATTCTTTCTCGAATATAAATCCACACGTTTCGTTAAAAGTGAAGAATTAAAATTTTCCGTGATACTCACGTTCTCTTCCACTTTCGTCTCGAACATGTCGAACCTGTCACTGGCGTTCAAATACTCGGTACCATTCTGCCAAGTTATGTTCGCGGCTGGCCTCGCTGCTCGCACGGTGCACTGAAGCAGGATTTTCGTTCCCTGCACCACGTGACCCACCACCCCGGCCAAATCCATCTTCAACGGTCGAACTGGAAAAGATGTCTCGTTTAAATATTTAAGAGGGTTGTTAGAGGGGGGATGAAAAAATATATTGGAAACGTTTATAAATATTTATCGATTCAAATATTATTTGCGAATTCTTTTGAATTTTCGATGTTTACAGAGATTTCGAATCGAATCAAATAATTAATTTCCAATTCTAATTTTTCAGATTTTCAAATCCTTCAACTTTCATGTTAGAATAACTTATCAATTTCCGAATCTCTACATTTTTACGCTAGTTTATCAATTATATTTCGTTATTCCACAACAATATCATTGCTCAAAAACTCTTCTCACGGCCAAAGAAATCAAATTCGAGCGGAAGTAAAGGATAACAGGAGGAGTAGTGACGCGTTATTCCAATTATCGTGTAATGGAACATTTACCTTTTTCGCATATAAATTTTCGCGACTGATTCATGACACGTTCCCCATACACTTGTTAGCAACGTGTGTACACATTTACAAAGAGAAATATACAGTGTCGGGGCTGGATGTGTCTAGTATAGACGATCTAATGCAATATCCAGGCTGAGCCGGCGTCTGTATCTTGCATCTTCTATAAGAATAATATAAAGGTGTTGCAAGATGCAAGGTGAGACAGCTGCAAGGTACGGGGATGGGGTAAGATCGAGGGGTTGAATAAAGAGGAAGGGTCGATGGATGGACGAGGCGTGCCGGAAAATCAGAAAGTCAAGTTGCATCAAGAAATTCGAAGGAATTCCTGTCTCGGGGAGAGATTTTCATTCTTTTGCCTCTCTACTTTTTCTTCGACCCGTGCCTCTCTCTGAGACACGTGCAATACTTGAAAAAAGAAGAAGAAAAATGGAAATTTATCTCTTTTTGTACGAATCTTAATTAGAATCTTTTTCCAATTTTGTTGAAATTGAACGAGTAACTGTGTGAAGTAGTAAAAAAAAAAAAAAAAAAATTGGGTAATTGGAAAATAAGTAGAATTTTGAACTCTTTTTTTTACGAATTTATATATTTTATAAATTTAATGAATATAAATCCCGGAGAATAAAAATTTGAATCGTATGCAATCGCGTGTGAATTTAAATGACGATAATTATCATTGTAAAATTAAAATACTCGATCGTATATTCGATTAATTTCAAACTCTCCTCTCATCATCAAATTTACGTTTTCGACTTTGGAACAGTTTCAACCGAACAGTTTAATTCTCTTTAAAACTCCCCTGAGTTGCATGTTCTGTTTACTCACCAAAATTCCTCTTTTATGCATTCTCAAGAGCATCAACACACGCTCACTCGACTCCATATTTTGAAATCCAACATACGTTTCCACAATCTTAACCATTTATATATTTCAAAAAATTCGTACAATACTTATCAATGCCCGCACACGTATATGAAGGAATATACGAAATGTGTAACAATCGTTGTCTAATTTATCCAGAAAAGAAAAAAATTCATTCATCATTCTTTCCTTTAAAACAGCCAAAGTATATCTTTATCCACATATTTTCGTCAAATGAACATAACATAACATTGCAAAGGTTCAATTCCATCGGACTGCCATCTTAATCGAACGACAAAATAATAATTCGTTTCTATAAACGATACTCGTTACAGCAAACAGAAACGTCTGGAGCCAGGAGAACGGATATCAGAATCGAGCGATCGTATTGGATAATTGGACAAAATCAAAGTCTGGGGGACGGGTGTCCAATAAACGAATCAATCGACGTGCGACCACGTTTTATCTCCAACGATATCGGTTACGTTTTCATTTTTTTTTTTTCCTCTCCCTTCCTTCACCCTTTCGGCTTGATTAAACGCACCGTCGCTTTTCCGTTTGTATTTTATTCGGCCCGATTTGACAGTGTCCCTTACCATGAAACTTCGAATCGAACAATTTCTGCTCGTAATTCCTTTGAACCGTGTTTCATTACCACGATGCGATGGAATCATACGCGCATTCGAGGATCGAAGCAATTTCCCTTCCTTGATATTTAGTTATTGGATTTGCACGTAAGAAGGGTTTTTTTAAATTGATATTCCATCGTACGATTATTTATATTTAGGAGGAAGGAATTCTATCAGAAGTTATTTATGAAATAACGATTGAATTAATTTTAAATTACGTTTATAATTACGCGTAATGTGTATCGTTTGCTTGTTGATTACGCTTGTAAATTTTAGAAATGCTCGTTAAATAATTTGAGAAAGAGATGGATGTAGAGGGATTCTTTCATGGCTGGTTATCCATCGAATCAATGTCGCATCACTGACTCGAATACGGAGAACGAGAGGATTGATGTTTGCGCGTGTGTTTAGTTCCAAACAATAGACCGTGTACCGCATCAATGATTTTAACTGACTCGTAGGAAATGTGAACTCGAATAATTATTCGAGAAATACTTTTTATATCTGATATTAAAATAAAATTTTTCTAAATAATTTATTTTACAAGGAACAAAAATCATTTATACAATAACAAATTTATTATTCATTATTATATTTAACGTAATTTTTTAAAAAAATTACCGGAAATAACTCTTTATCCTCTATATTTAAGAAGATTACCAATCAAGTAACAAAAGTCCCTAGAACACCATACTAAAACTCTACTCTAATTCTGCAACTCAGACGTCATCGTAAAATTATCCCTCAAAAATTAGAACATAATTCTAGAAAATCATTATAAATCAATTCCTACATTACGCGAGATCAAGAAAAATTTCAAATCAATAAAATAACCTTTGCACTAGTATTTATATTTAAAAAGATTACCAATCAAGATTCCCTAGAACGTAATTATATTACTGACGTAAATATATGTATAATAATAAAATGTAGAATAGCGACTATACGACGATATACGAGTGCAAAAGATTAAAAATCTATTCGTATATATATATATATATTCGAGAAAAACTCTGATCCATAAACTAAACTCTATCCCTTTTCGAGTTGTGCAACACTCAGACGTCGTCGTAATCAACGCGGTTCGCGATTATCCATCTCTGAAACTCGAGGTCACGAGGGAGGGAGATGGCAAATGTTAAGCAACACGGCGAAGAAGGATAAGCCTTGGAGGCGGTCTCACGTACACGCGAGTTGTAAAATTTCTAAGTGGTCGGGCCACGTTTACGCTTCGTGCTATCCCCGGATAAATCGTAAAATCACGGGCGGGGATTTTCGAAAAGCCGTCATAAAGTTGACGAGGGCTTTTTCGTTCGGGGAGGAAATAGAGGGGAGGAAGTTCGAGAAGAGCTCGACTTTTGTCGTCCATCTGTGTAATTGAACTGTGACCGGAAACGCGTGACAATTTGCGGATCGTGTTGCTCCTCGTCTTATTTCCATAGAGGGACTTCGATGGAAATAAGTTCGAGAATTGTTGTCGATAAAAGGTGAATTTAATTTTCTCAACGATGTTTTCTCTTTCTTGAACGAATAATAAATATTTGAACATATAACTACGTTGATTTTTTTATGAAAGTTATATTTTTCGATTTATGATTATTTCTCTTTATTGGGGCAAGGTTAGAAATGATTTTACTTGCTTATTTGATCTTGTTAAAATTCTGTACTACTTTCACCGAGTAATCGTGGAACGTTGGCTTCAAGGTAAAAGAAATTCTAGTTATTATATTTTCAAATGAGCATTATATCTTGAATATCGTTCGTTCAAGGTTAAGTTTGATATAATTTCTAGGTTATCCACAATTATATTTCTTGAATAAGTAAGTATTTAATGTTCAATCTTGGTCAATTTATCTCGAATTCCCCCTTTTAATCTTATTGCCAAGGATATCGTTGGGAATATAAAGCAGCCTGTTTTTAATAAATTATCATTATTCATCAATGTGAGTAAATAGAGAAACGGTGAGGGCGATGCAAAAGGCTTCATGCGAGTGTTATACTAAGGCTAATCCAATTATCAAGTAACAAACAAGCTGCGATAATCTCATCTCGTCTCCCTATTGTTAACTGCTATTTCGCTTTACCCGTGACAGAAGATTGATGACATGCAATCTTGCATGTCTACCAATTTAATTTTAATGAAGTTTCCGATCACGTGAAGGAACTCAAACAAAGGTAAACACCAAGACTTGAAACTTTTCGCGGAAAAACTTTCTATTTACACACCTACAGTTATTATACGACACGTTAAACTTCACCCGATTATAAACTTTACCATCGATTAAACACGAATAAGAAATAATCTAAACATCCGAATCCTGCCAATGCATTCCAACATTAATCTTACAATCGACCAATCTGTATCTTCAATTTCTCTTCAACAGAATCATCGTAATAAAAATCTATTTCGAATAATAATCACAATTCGGTGAAAATATATAACCGAGACGAGCTACTCCTTCCAACCTTTTTTCCTTTCTCGCGTTCGTCCGCAAGCTCAATTTCCGGTCGGCCGAGATACTTAGTCCCGCCACTCGACGTCGTTTCCTGTACCGGTCGAGGAAACATTAAAAAGTTCACGTGCGTTCCTCTCCTCTTCTTTCTCGAGAGGGAGGGGAAGAAAGTTTCTCCCTCTCTCTCTTTTTTCTCGACGCAACACTCGAGAGGGAGGGGGAGAAAGTTTCTCGAGGCGGTTACAGGGGAGATAATTCTCGAGCTCGAGAGCCGCGAGCGGGCAATCAACGAAACGACGCAGGAAGAACGTGAAAAGAAAGGCTGGGGATAGAAGAGCGAACAGGGAATCTAATATCGAGGATTGCATTTACCTTGAACCTCTACTTTCCCGCCTCCACTCTTCGACAAACGCCATCTCAAAGGCGGAAAAGAAGAGAGAGGGAGAGAGAGGAACGGATCTTTATCCTCTCTTATTTTTTAACGAGCAGCACCGCCCCAATAGTTTCGCCAAACACGTAAAATAGTGGATGGAAAGGTTTATCGACTTTGGTTTCGCGCGGTTTTTTCGAAGAATAATAGGGAAATTTTCTTGAGACAATCGAGGAGAGAGGAAGTGATTTTGAGATAAGAAGAAAAAAAGGAAGA